ACGCGAACACTACACATTTTTAAATAAAACTAATTTTACGGATTTTATCGCGTATATTAACTTATTTTTAACTTATTTTTATATTCCCGACGTTTCGGGTGCTTTCCAGCACCCGTGGTCACGGGGGACTGAGTTGTTTGACGTCCTACTGTCATAGTTAGCCCGGCTACCTTCAGTTTTTTAATATTAATTTTCGGTTCGATTTACGCAGAATGAGCTTACAATATCTTGAAGTCTAGCAGTGGTATACTTGGGTTTGGATTTGATTTTATTAATTATGGGATCCCAAGCAGATGGCAGCACCCATCCATCTTCTCTATTGAAATTAGGATGTTTTTTAATTTCAATAGCCTCGCGAATCATCCTTGGGAGGAATCGGTGTTCTTTTGCGAGGATTTGTGCTCTATCAAATCTAATGTAATGACGGGGACGATCCTGAACATGTTCACAAACTGCAGACTTCCCGATACGTCGGTGCTTCACGTCAGCTATATGTTCTTTAACGCGGGTTTTAATAGATCTTTTTGTTTGTCCTATGTACGAGAGACCACATTCACAATCCAGCTTGTACACTCCTGCATCTTGTAGAGGGATATGACACTTGACGGATGGTAAAAATTGACCAATCTTCTTCAGCGGCTTGAAGTACGTTTTAATGGAAGCTCGCTTCAAGATGTAGCCAACCTTGTCTGTGACTCCTCTGACATAGGGTAGTACAGCAGGCACACGCTCGACTGTGGCTGGCTTCACTCGGTCACTGTGACGTAGGCGCGGGACCCGAAGCTTGTTGTCTTGCAGTACTTGCTCGACGTGCTGAAGCTCGGCGGCCAGATGTTTTCTGTCACAGATCCCTCGTGCTCTCTGAAACAAAGATCTTTGTTGATAAAATCAAATCCAAACCCAAGTATACCACTGCTAGACTTCAAGATATTGTAAGCTCATTCTGCGTAAATCGAACCGAAAATTAATATTAAAAAACTGAAGGTAGCCGGGCTAACTATGACAGTAGGACGTCAAACAACTCAGTCCCCCGTGACCACGGGTGCTGGAAAGCACCCGAAACGTCGGGAATATAAAAATAAGTTAAAAATAAGTTAATATACGCGATAAAATCCGTAAAATTAGTTTTATTCCACGAGCTTGTCATTCAAATCGTCCACTTCATTGCAGTCTTCTAGGCACTGAAAACGGTTTTGCAACTCGAGCTGAAAGGTTTCGGGACTTTGGATTAGAGCACGAGGGGGACGGAGCGTTGACTTCATTAGACGAGACCTCTCCAACTTAACGTTTAGGTTCAGTGTGCCTCTAACCATTCGGTGATCGCTGCCGGTTTTCACCCTCGCGATCACTGAGACATCACTGAACAGTTGTCGTCTGGTCGTCATAATGAAGTCAATCTCATTTTTTGTCGAACCGTCGGGGCTCGACCAGGTCCACTTCCTGTGGGGCCGCTTCTGGAAGAAAGAGTTCATCATAAAGAGTCCCTCTTTCTCCATGAAGTCGGCCAACTGCTGGCCCCTTGGGTTCCGTTGCCCTATTCCAAATTTCCCCACTTTCAGCTCACCGTTCTCTCTTGTGCCTAGTTTTGCATTGAAGTCTCCCATTAACACCGTATATTGAGTTTTGGAGGAATGCATGGCTCTAGAGATATCCTCATACATTTCCTCCACCTCCTGATCGGGGTGTGCCGAGGTTGGTGCGTAAACCTGTATGACCTTCAGCGAATACCGTTTGGTGATTCTGAGTATAAGGTACGCAACCCTCGTCGACACACTCTCAATCTTTACAACATTGTTAACGAGAGACTTGTGGACGATAAATCCGACACCTCCTTGGGACAGATGGTCGCCCTCCCGGTGATAGAGCAAGTTGCCGGATTCAAGGATTACCGTGTCCTCCCCCTCTCTTCGGACTTCGGATAATCCTATAATATGCCAGCGTAACTTGTCTATCTCTTCTTCCAGCTCCACAATCTTCTCGTCAGTCCTCAGGGTGCGTGCGTTGTATGTTGCCAGGTCGAGTCGTTGTAGGTGGCAACCGAACCTCCACCGGAGATTCTTAGCACCCCCTGCCCCGCCGTTACCATGGTCGCCACCGTAGCCAGGAATAGCGGGGCCGCCGGGGACTGGGGGCCGTCTCTTCGTAACCTTCATTATGGGGGGTATATTGCCATAGTTGCCACGCTTGGCGAGCGGGTTGGCAACCGCAGTTTTTTATTGTATTTTGTCGTTACCAGGAAGATGCTGCTGCCCATCCCCTGCCTGTTTCCCTTTGTCGCCTTTTACGACACCCACGGGAAGATATGGGGTAGTGGATATTCTTAACCGCCACTACATACGATTTCGTTTAACTTTTATTACAAACACAGTTATGTGTATCACATACGTAGCTCTGTTCGCAAAAGGACAAAAAACCTTCGAATTTCTATACATCTATCGAAATAATATATGTACGACGGAACAAACAACTAACTCATATCATAGATCTTATTGATTATTAAAATTTAATACATATTTTTCAAATTGTGCCCTTTTACTTTTTTGAACAACTTAGCTTATTATTTTACCCTAAGCTAAAATTATTAACTTTTCAGTAAGCTGTCGTAAAAGCTAACGAACCTACAGAAAAATCGTCCACCAAGACCTTATAATTGTAATTGCACGAATGCACATTTAATGAAAAGGGTTTTAATGAACTGACGATATGCGACGTTAGGGGAACAAGTAAACACCCTAACTTGATATCCAATTTGTATCGAACTCTGCTGTCACATGCTTCGTCACTAATCAGGGGTCTTTTTAAACGGCTGTTTATATCGTGTAACTTCATAAATGAAAAGGGTTTATATGTGACAAAATTGCTTTTGAAAATAGTTTCTAAACAACATTAGTATTAAGTTCAAATTTAAAAGAAGGAAAGTAAAGATTTATTTACATATAGTTTTTAGCCGTTTACCCTTAAGTTTATGCGTAGCTAAAACAATATAGAAAGAGGTTTTTATTACTTCGTATAATAATTCTTTACCTGTTTGTGTTGATCGAAATTCCTTTTTTTGTATTTATAATTTACTAAAGCGTTATTGTAATATTTCATTAATAAAAACTGTATGCATATTTTGGGAAATATTATTTTGTGTCTAATATAGAATACAAAATACATAAATTAAAACGGAAAGCAAAAAAATGTTTTATTTTTAAATATTTTTGTGTGCGCCTACTTTAACTCGAACTAAACTAATAAAGAGAAATCCGCCTTCATACTAGTTAGCTCCTACAACAGCCCTATGTTACCTGGCATTAAAACAGTAGAGGTGAAAAGTTTATTTCAGAGAAAGTTTTTGACGTGAGCGCACGGGCCTAGTGATAAACAAAATACAAACTAAAAAATAAACGTCATAAAAACTTTTTTGCTAAGTGATAAGAATTTGAAAACGGTAAGAGACAAACTCGTTTTTACGCAAATTTTTAACTTTTATTGATATAAAATTAAGGATTCTGTACGATCAAATTGAATAAATTTGTTTTAATCTTTTAAAAGTTAAAAAAAACATTGATCTTTAATATTATTTTAGTTTATCGTTTAAATACTCGTCTCTAATTTGTTTGAGTTTGATTTCAATTAATATTATATAATAGTGTGTTTGTGTATAACTTTTGCACATGTTTTGGTATTTTTATTTTTTATTTATTTGCAAAGCGAAATTACACTTGTATCAAAGTGATTGAATAATGAAATTGAAATAAAATATGTTTCGTTATAAAAGAAGCCATGGTAGTTTAAAGTCGTCAAAGTTTGCCTACTATCTTTTCAGCGAAAAGCAATCGCCTTAAATTTTTTTCATAATACGCTCCCAACCGAAGAGTTCAATGCCCGCCGGCATCACTATAATCGTTATTCTAAATTTTAAGTGTCGATTTTGCCACGTTCTTTCCTGTGAAACAAATTTACTGAGAAAATCGAAATGCTTGAGATTTTAATAATATTTAGAGGGTTAAAGGCCGCCAATACTCACAGCGTAGCGGACTCTATCTTGCTCGTAGAACTCTCTAAGAAGTGTGACAGGCGTGTGCCTGGTTGTGGTGAAAATAATGGTTGTTAATTATTACAGCCTCTCAAAAGTCCACTACTGAACATAGGTAATATTTGCCAGTGTTTCCCCGCTTGGCAGTCGGACTGCCGGCTGACAACTGCAGTCTTTTTTATTATTTCGAGCTCTCATCACGAAGATACTGATGCCCATCTCTTGATTCTGCTTCCGTCTGCCGCTTCTTACGACACCCACGACACTATATGAGGAAGTGGATTTTCTTACGTTGCTCTTACACGGCACATTGAACAAAGTATAGTAATTTTAATACATATCATACAATTTAGCAGTGCAGTTAATTTTTGATATCTATTAGCCAATCATTGTGCATGCATGTTTACAATATCAGTTTGTTTTGTAACGTTAGAACAAACATTTCATAAAATATGACTATGTATACATAAATGAAATAAAATTAGGTAGTACTTATAAATTAAATACATTTTTTTACAAATATAAATATAGATCGCTTACTCTTTTAATTGAATTCTGTTCAAGTACTTTATAGGCGCTAAAAGTTTAGAGAGTTCTTCTTTATTACCCCCGTTTCCCGAGGCAATACAAAATGTGAGTCACCCCAAAATAAGGGAGGTTGCGTGTACAAATGCACTTCTTCAGTTCCGCCGTAACTTGACCTGCGACACCCCCCTGGCGCTGTTCTAATTGGATTAGAGCGGCAACCAAGCTTAGTGGCTAAAAGATCATTTTAAGCTGGCGAGTTCGATATGTAGATATGGCTGTGCGTCCGATTGTTTAATAACTTCTTTTTGTATGACTCACTGTTTATTGTTATTATTCTCAGAAATGATTACAAATATTTTAATAATGTTAGAGAGTAATATTTTTTTTAATAATATGTAGAATAAAATATTTCATATTGAACCAAAGCATTATTTTATGTTGCAGGAATACCATGATAATTTATATCATTCTTTTCTGTGGTATTTGTGTATTAAAAGTACTAAGTTTAGACATGGGTAAGTGGCTTTGGATTATTATCTTAATTTTTTTACAGGGATAATTTCTGAAATACTTTATTTTTCTAGTTGTCCTGATATTTATTTTGCACATTAATATATATAATTTATGTAATATTAAACGAAAATAAAAAGTACATATTCAATATTATATGTAATTTGTAGGTAACTAAGGTCTCTTCTTCGTTATACAATATTTAGTATACATATATTGGATGTTAAAAGATTTCTAAGAAACATACGATTGACACTTTACTTTTTGACACCTACTTCCTGCTTACTACCATGTGTATAATTATGCTATGAAATCAGTGTACTTTCCTGCTAAGTTTTAGGTGCTGGTTTCGAACCAGAGTTGAAGTTAATACTTGAATTTTATTGTGATAATGCGGTTTTCTGTCTGTAGCACTATGTCCGACAAAAATTAAAACGAAGAGTAAAGCAAGTGTACTTACGAATAATTTCAGATGGTATTCCGAGTGCTATGTTTTTTTAGGTATGGTGTGACTCTGAATGATAGGGTGAGAAAATTGTATGATAATATAAAAGTGTGATTTACGAGATGATTTTGTGTTCAGGATTAAGAAAGGAATGCATCGGTAATTTGAATACGTTGAAAGAATGAATACCGAAAGACTGACAAAGCATATTTTGCGCAAGTGAGTGGCAGAGTCGGCCTGGCATGGCTTTATTGACCAAAGAGCATGGATCACTAATAAAAAACTTTTTTCTATTAGTGATCGATGCCAAAGAGTAACTAGTCAGCAATCAATTCAAACGAGGCCACCGTTTGAAATGTGCGATTGGATCGATTTTGGTCACAAAATGCGTGACATGTGTGAGAGCTTATACACACATGTATGTTTTTATTATACCTACTTCAAAAAGTAAAGATCCTCGTATATCATAGTTATGATCGGATTTAATTTATATTGTTAATAATTAAAAAATATCAACTGTATATATTTCATAAAGTAAAAGTAAGACTAAATATAAGTTGGGTCACAATTTTTGAATATAAATAAAGTTCTTATTCGGAATTGCTTACAAATTACGAGCGTTTAATTAGTTCCTAATAAAGATTTTTACTTTTTAGACGTTGTTGTGCTAAGGGCTGTGCGCGGTCGTGACGCTAGACTACCCTGTGGCCAAGGAAAAGTTTTTTTGGATGGTCCTGACTCTTATGTGCTTTGGCTGAAAAACGACAGAGATTTCCTGTACAGATTCCCCAATGAAGACACAGAAAGAAGGTATATTTACGTAACTAATTTGATTATTTACCCTTAGAATATTATTATTCTTGTCTGCTTTCGACATCGCAACCAATTTGAGATAAAGCCAAAACTTACAACACACAACAATTGCTTCATAACTGGAATTAAAAATCTATAATTCGGGCATTTTGAAATTGACCTAAATTTCATAAAGCATTCGCCGAGTGTTTCAAAGATAAATGTTGGCAGGTAAACAACTAAACACATACAGATACTGTTTGTAAGTGTAATGTGTAATATATATAAAATATACAACGTGACTAACACAACAGCATTAAGCTTCTATTTTACACTGTACTGGTATTATTTAAGAGCATGGCCCTTTCCGGTTGAGATGACCCATTCGGGTTACAACTATATAACTGCAGCAGGGCTCTACGACATATTGGGTGAAGAAATGATTCTTCTGAAAACGGATGTGATAGACTATTTTCAATGCTTATTATTGATTCGGGTATTGAAAAAACTTGAGGGCAAGCACACATTTTCACATAATGTGTTGTATTAGAATTTATTTTGCTTCTTTAATAAATCGATACATCCAACTATGTCAGGATTAGTCGTTCCATGCGATTACAAGGATCAGACAAATATGAATAATAACATAAGCTTTGTGTTAAGCTTAATCAATAAAGCAACTTGAGCGATATATATCAACCTCTTACCATCATGTGGGTTAGTAGTCATGCATTTGCTTATAACAGGTACAGAATACCTCTTCATTGCAAAAAAAATAGGTGGACATTAGACTAACGTAAATACTAAGATACCCTTATTACTTACCATATTCACTGGTTGGATTAATGAACATAACTATATATCTTCATGCATGCTTCATGAATCGTAGATTATACACGTGAATAACAAGTAAGTTTTTAAAATCACGTGTAGTGGTGAAGTAACAGAATCCATCACAGCGTTTCGTCTCATTGGTGACGTGACTGTAGAAAAGTCAGAAATAGTTTATGCCTTTATTTAAAAAAAATCTGGTAATGTTATAAAACATTACTAATATTCCCTTTAACCACTTATGGTAAGCTTAAAATGCTTGTGTAAAAAGTGGTTCACGACAGTAGTCGAATGGTGGATTCGAACCCACGACCTTTGGAGTTCACGGTCCGCGCCCTGCCATTAGGCTACTGATGCCTTTAAATTGCTTAAAAAGTTTAGTGTTATAACCATCCTGTTTATGTCGTAAAGTGACGGGGAGCAGCGTTAACTTGCGAGACGTCTGATACTGCGACCACTCATCCACCGGCTAAGCGTGCTGTTATGGCACACCCTCCTTACACAGGAAAAGTTTGGACGTTTACTTGAGGTTAACTACGATATTAGTGTCCACAGTGAGGGAGTGCTGACCACTTCCCATGCCGACACGAGCGTTTTATTAAGTATGTTATCATTTCTAGGTCAGTGAACCAAGACCGTATATTTGGCACATCATGTGATTTGGCCTCGTGTCATGACGATACTTCTCTTCTTCTTAAACGTGTCTCTGAGCAAGATGCAGGTATTTACAGATGTCGAGTGCATTACCAAGCATCTCCTTCTCTAGACTATGTGATCGACGTAAGATTAGTCGGTAAATAAACATTTTGTAGTATGATAAATTGTCTTTTGAAGTTTTATAGATACCTACAATTAAATTTTTCATTATTACTATTTATTTATACAGAGTCACCGGGAATGCCCAGAATTTACAACGAGGCGGGTGAAATAATAGAGCAAGGACACGTAGGCCCACTAAGTATTGGTTCCGATCTGACGTTAATCTGCGAGGTTGATGATGGTACCGTATAATGCCAGATTTTTTATAACATGTGAAATGAGATGAGATCTTATTAGGTTCATCTTAGTAGACGAAATGCCATTTTCAGAACAACCAGACACCCTCGTTTACTGGAGGCGAAACGGTATTGTTATTGAGCGCGCACACACTGCACGACCGGGCGTGCTTCGAGCTGAAGTTCATGTACACAACGCGACGCGTGGCGAACTTGATGCACATTACGAGTGCCTCGCGCAGAACGCGGATGTCACTGACCCACTGAGTGCAAGTGTTGTCGTCAGAATGTATTGTAAGTAACTTTAATCGTATTAGTATCTAAGTGTACGAACAGAACAAGATAAAATAGCTGTATTCCAGTCTGAAATGTACAGAAAGCCAGTATATCAATAGGCTGGGAGGCATTCCATTTTAGCTTTCAGAGGTGATAACTCATCTGCAACCTGCTTTTCTTAAAGATTGCTGCAGATGTCCATGGGCTGTAGACCATTTACCATCAGGTGTACTGTAAGCTCGTTTATCACTTCAGTTGCATAAAAATATCTCCGAAAATAGAGGAAACATGTACAAGAACCCCGTGGGTATGCTTTCTCCGCAACATTTAATTATGACAGATTCAGTATTACTACTGTTGCTAATAATTCTTCTGCTATTATTTATTCTGTGCTATTTTCTACCGTGTTATTAGGACTGAACTGATGAAAGATTTTGCTCATGAAAATTTAAAACTTTACGGTTACGTTAAATGATTCAAAACGTTTAGGGCCGATTATTTTACAAACGTCAAATAAAAGTTGCCATAAAATAAATTATAGCCTATCTGAATATTGAAGTTAAATAATTGAACTATTTTCGTTTATACAACAGCAAGCTTTTATTTGTTCATGTTGAATTTTATCCTATAAATAACTTTAATCTATTATTGATTAGATTGACAAATCGGCCCTACTACACATTAAAACTACTAATAAATAATGTAACAAAACAAAACAGATTCAACTACCTATCTGATATCTTCAACTAGTTCAAGAAATTCCTGTATATTGTTTTTCATTTCATTCCTACATAAAAGTCTAAGCCATCCCTAGAAAAAAGCCTCTCAGGAATGCTATTTGGCATGGTTCCGACGTTTGGCAAGCGGGTTGGCAAGCGCGGTTTCATTATTAAGAGCTGTTATTAGGAAGACGCTGCAACCCATCTCCTATTCAGTGTTATTTTTATTGCGTGTTAAATAACTTTGTAGTGCTCCTGACATACTTTCATAATTATTATCTGCCTCTATTATATCTCATCGTCAAATCCATAAAAAAACTATATATATAATTAAAAAAATATGAATGATTTTTAGATATACTCGTTATATTAAAGTAACGTAACATATCTTTCTTTTTAGTACCTCCAATCAGCGTGGAAATCCGGTTGAACCACAACTACGACTTCGAGGCTGGTCAGCCGCGAGTGGTTGATTGCGTAGTGGTTGGCTGTGTTCCGCCACCATCTGTGATCTGGCACTTAGGCGAAAACCTGCTGAGACCAAGCGTACACAAAGTAATTTAATTTATTAATAAATAAAGCGTTTAAATGCCCACTGCTACCCACATGAATCCTCTGCAGAGTAAAGGACAAGCAGTATATTGTAGTGCTTTGGTGCTTGATGGAGGACTTCACATAAATCTTAGAAATATTTTTATAGCTCGAAAATTACATGAATAATTTTTAAACAATTTTAATTCGCTGTGCGGTGCGACGTAAGATGATCCCTTGTATCATCCCGTGTATATCGTAAGTGACGACTAAGAGAAATGCCAGATAGATCTCAGTGCTTCCTATTGATGACGGTATAACAATATGGTTTACGCCAGATGTCCCGGTGAATGGTATTTGGGTCGGTTCGACCGGGGAATGACCACGCTCTCACAGAATACCAGTGTAAAATATCAGCTCAGTGCTGATGTGTTTCGTATAGTGAGTGTAGAGAACCGGAGACATTTTTTACTGGCAAAGAAGTTTTCCATCTTAGTCCTCAGGGGTGACAACGTATGTGCATTTTAATTGTTAAACGAGGATAAATGTAAGATGCCTGTGGGCCACAGCATCCACTTACGATCAGGTAGACTGTGTGCTCGTTTGTCACCCTTATTCTATAAAAAAAAGAAAAAAAACATCTTTAAAGACGCGAGACGGCTGTTAAAGAAGAGGCCCGTGTCTTGGTGTACATTTAAAAGCGTTGATTATTGATTGTTCTGGTCAAGAATTGAGCTTTTATTTATACTTTTTCATAATCTAATTTGTCATCTACATTTAATTGGAAGTAATTGGAAGTAGACTAGAAATGATTTGGGGGTGACTCGAACTTTAGGCCTAGTCAGTTTGAATAGCCTATGTAGAGGATGTCATGGGCGTCATGGTTGAATAGGAGCAAAAATTTCTCATTTCACTCCTAGGGGGTCAAAATGGCCTAAAACCAAAAAATTGGGGGGTTGCTCGAACTTTAGGCACAGTCAATTTGAATAGCCTATGTAGAGGACGTCATGGGGGTCATGGTAGAATAGGGGCAAATATTTCTCATTACACTCCTAGGGGGTCCAAATGGCCAAAAATCAAAACGTTAAAAATTCTTATTTCGGCTATAACTTCGCCTGCTTCGGAGGTTCTTACAGTCTTTACTTCCCGCATCCCACTTATTCATAATAGATTTTAGTTACCTCGTATCTATTTTATTTAAAACATCAAAACTAGTTTTTAATTTTGCGGGCTGATCGTAACTTTATGATGAAAAAGTTGTGTGTATCTATGGTATTAAATAGCTTACGGAAGGCATTGAGCTCTAGCTGAAGCTGGTAAGACTTTACAATGCAACTTATTACTATATAAATGCTTACTGCTGCCCTATAGAAATTTCAACCAGATCCAATGAAAAAGTTGTTTTAAATATTTATAATCTAAGTATTTGAAAGCATTTCAACTTCGAGATTGCCGCGAGGTTTTCATATCAATTATGTTACCTAATAATTAATGTACAAGTAGATATACTATTTAAATATCTCTACTATATATAAAATTCTACTGCGAGCAACAATTTACGATTCTGAGCCATATAGAGAAAATTTATGAAACGTGTAACATATTGTGTAACCAGAAGTTTTGATATTTGATTGTTTGAAAAGAGAACCGGTGGAATAATTTTAGTCTCTTGCGTCGACAGTTTGTTTGTTATCTCGCGAGAAACCCGATTAGGATTGCAATGGGATCTTATAATAAAGTGTGTAAATGGCACTTCTGTTTAGCCTAATAGATTTTGAGAATATGCCTTAAGGCATAACGTGGGCTTAACCCACCGTGTGCACTATTATATGCATCTAAGTTTAAATAAATAAACAATATTAATGTAATCAAAACGACTAAAACCATTTATTATAACACTACATTACAACACTGTTTCCATTATTTTATTTTTCGGGTAATGCAAAAGGTAGAGCTAGTAAAGTGAAACCTTTAAACACCCCATTGCCGCCACAAAATAACATAATATGCTTTCTTTCAAGAAAATTTTCAGCCAATAATATGTACTCATTTTTAAGGAACTACATGATGGCAACTATACAGTTTCGTCACTGACATTGGCACCGTCCTTGAGGGACAATAAACATGACTTGGTGTGTCGCGCGCATAACTCCCACTTGCCGAACGCTATATTTGAAGATAAAGTCACTTTAAATGTTGGGTGTAAGTGTCGTTCAGAGTTATCTAGCTTATAAATAAAAATATATTTGTAAAGTTACAGCATATATACGACCCACTGCTATGCACAGACCTCCTTTCACTTTTGAGAGGGTTATGCTGTAGTTAATCTGCCACTTAGTACCACTTTAGTACCACTTTAGTAGTGAAATATTATATTACTAACACTTGCGGGCTTCCTCACGATATTTTCTTTCACCACTTGCGGAATAAAATTTACGGAAAGGACGTGCGAAAGTAATATCTTATAAGTAATTAATAGTAATAACAGGAATTCAGCCATGCTGCAGCTATATAACGAATGGATCGGCTCGACCAGGGAAGGACAACGCTCTCACATAATACCAGCGTAAAATAGCAGCTTAATGCTGCTGTGTTTCGTATGTTGAGTGTAGAGAGCCGGAGACCCTCTTTTACTGGAAACGAGGCGTTCCATCTTAGTCCCCACGGGTGACAGCGCATCTGCATTTTGATTCTCAATCGAGAATAAAATGTCTATGGGCCATAGCAACCACTTACCATCGGGTGGAATGTGAGCTCGTTTGGCATCCTTATCCCATATTAAAAAAATCCTTCATTTTTGACTCCTGCTTTTTCTTATTTGGGGATTTGCTTGACGTATACCCACTTTGGAAAAACGGTCATTATAGTGGTGTTCCTCCTTCGCTGTATATCTACTACATAGGACCACGAGAACACTCAGGCACATTTACATTCTTAGCCGAGTTTGCGGTGCGTTTCGGCCTCGGAGAGTAGGGAGAGTTGTCCATCACTATACCAACACTCTTTATTTGCTAGGGGAAGAAAGTTAAGAGGCCTTTTCCCTGCCCTCCACCTACTCGTAGCCAGAGTGGTCCCGCCAAGCCCATTTCTGATTTCGATACCAACGCAGCACTGGCAAGAGGCTTGTTTGAGGGTCTTACACTACAACCCAACAACTCCGTAACAAATGCCTAACTTTGCTGGTTTTTTATTATACTTATTATGCTTTTTTGACTTATTGTTAGACCGGCCTCTGTGCTTAACGTCACGTGAGGAAACGATCGGTGCAATGCATCAAGAAGCGGAGACTGTAATTTGCGTGGTCGAAGCGTCTCCAGAACCATTGCAGTTCAGTTGGACTTTTGCAGATTCAAGAACCTTATACACCAGCGTCAAGGTAAGATCTTCTTCACTGTTTCTGTAGGCCTCTTCCATTTTAGGGGAATTTACCTTAATCGCTTCGTTTCTCCACGTCGCCGTTTTGGTTATTTTACGTCTGACGTAAACGATCTACGTGATGCTTGCATCACAATTATTTTTTTTAATCAATAGACTACACTTAAGTAATGCCTAATTCCATTAAGTATTATCTATTAAATTATGAAATCATGGCAACACTTAACCAGTGTCGCTGAAAGAATCCCTCAATCTACTTCGTTATGGGAGTGTCAAAAGAGACAAATAAGAAATACTAGATGAATAATACTATATGAACACCTTGATGTCACCTAGGAGCAACTTCAAAAATTTTAGCGAAATCCAAAATCTCCATATACGATTCATATTTGCGCTTCGCAAATATGACCATCTCCCAGAATACCGCACTAAACTTAAGTGGCACGCAATCCATCTTCGTCGGAACACTCATATTCTTTCTGCCATCTACTGCGTCTTATTTAATATATGAAGTCCTTTCTAACTAAGAAAATGTTTTAAATTACTCAGTTCCCGTCATAAATGATCCAGACAGGATCAGATTGGATGTAGAATGTAGTAATAAGATCGCCTTTTGTTTTTGCCTCAATATTTGTTTATTTTTGTTACATTTACTTTTCTTGATATACGATAAAGAATATTGAATTGTATTGAACTGTACTAGGAAAATTTCATTACTTCCTCTTCTTCTATCACGTTTTAACAACCTCGTATAACCAGATGTAAAATACCTATACATGGTTGCCATCGGCACACTGCCCGCTCTGTGGTGTTAATGACAAATCCTTACTTATATAAGGGAGATCTAAGCCTAGCTGTGGACTCTTTTTGGGTTTAGGATGATGAAGATAATAATGTCAAATAAATTAAATTAAATGAAAAACAAATCTTTAAAAAAAATTATAACTAATAAATATTAAAAAGAAAATTTGCATTATTCATAACGCTTTTTGCATAATGAGACGGTCATAATGAATTTTTAAGTGTTAATTTTTTTGGATAAACCTAATAAGCTAAATTGAAGCAAGTATAAATGAGTTTTTGGCAAAATTGTTTCACTATCTTTTTACTATCGTTGCAGTTAATCAAAAACTCTCAAAATCATTACAAACAGATGTTATAAATAAGAATAACAACGTCACGAACAAGAGCAGTGCACATTTGGAGACGTGTTCTCATTGATATTCTGTTTAGGTATATACGTTTTTAAGGGAAGTGTAGAGAACCGGATACCCATTTTTGCGAATTAAAACGCATATGCATTTTAATTCGCAAACGAAGATAGATGTAGATGTTTATGGGCCACAGCAGCATAAGGGTGACAAACGAGCACACAGTCCACCTGATGGTAAGTGTACCATCAGGTGGACTGTGTGCTCGTTTATTACCGTTATTCTATAGAAAAGGATCAGAAATGAATTAGGAACAATATAAATTGCTGTAGTAGCATTATTTATCAACAAAAGCTGTTATTTCCTTGATAATTAGTTAATAATTACCGAGAATAACGCTACGCTTGCGCATTTTGGGGACTGCATTGGGTGAAACTGCTGCCTTATAGTCCTGCTGGACAATACTTTAAAACATTTCATCCCATTTGAATGAATGTCGTTCATGTCTTTTGTGGTATTTTGTTAATTTATAAAGTTTTTGTACTGGAGTAACATTTGCTAAACTACTACTTTAATGAAAATTTCTATTGTCGACTATGTAGCACTCACATAATGTAGTAGAGTGATGAATTCTCTTAAGCACCACCACGTAAAAATTCAGAAGTTTTATTTAGTTTTCTCCGGTAATTTCAAAAAAACACATCAATTTTGTACGGAATAAATACACTGTCAAGTAATCTTCTCAGTACTGCCGCTAAAAGCCGCTATCGTCTTTTTACAACAGAAAGTTCCTGGCCACCACCATCGTTACTCCTCCACTTTGACATGGTTACCTCGAGACGGGGATTTTGGACTGTTACTGTGTAGAGCGACGAATAGTTTTGGGGAGCAGAAGAAACCATGCTCATATGCAATAGCGGCAGGTGGACCACCACATCCTCCAGACTGTGGATTACTACGTTCATACCCACATACCGTACGAGTACAGTGTCAAAAAGGTAATTGAAATAACACTATAAAAATAAATATTCTATATATCTTCGAAGAAACTGAAATTTCTAAAACTGACTCGGTGATTATTCAAGTTCATAATCATACTTTGTAGTATATAATTTGGTCTCCCCTGGCGAGGGCTTCCATCTGGTTGGACTTTAATTTATTTATGTATTTTTATGTATTTATTTTATTTTATTGATATTGATGTATATTTATCATTTTTATTCACACATTATATATTTATACAGCCCAATTAGATGAATAAAATATATAGATATCCCATAATAATAATAAAAATTATATCCTACGATGTCCATTGACAGGGTGGGATGGAGGACGCTCTCAAGTAATTCACTTAGAGCTCTTTAGTGGTGATGGCACACTCTTGCACAATGTGTCTAATGCAGCCGGCCACTTTCATTTGCCAGATGTAGAGGAAGATAGGAACTTGACGGCCATTTTGTACGCCAGCAATGTAAGAGGAAGGAGTGTAACAAAAACCATGTATCTACAGACAATTACAGCTTTAAGTGCATCCGGTACGTTATAAATTATTCTTACAAAAATTAATATCGATATTATATAAATATAAGTCGAAACAAAATCATCTCGATTTTGTTTTTATACAAATGTCTAAAATATTTAAAAGCTAACCGTTTAAAAGTTCAGCTTCATCTAATAATATCTATTCTTCTATACTATAATAAAACTAACACGACGTCTGTCTGAACACGCATCACGCAAAAACCTGTGAACCGATTTGGATGAGACTTTCACTGGCAGATAGCTGATAAGAAGAAACTTAGGCTACTTTTATTATAGGAAAAAAATTAGAGTTCCGCTCAAAAAAATTAAAGCCCATGAAATTCAATCGCAATAAATTACACGCGGGCGAAGTCGCGGTGAACAGCTATTGTAATAATAAATTCATTTATGTTTCACATTAAATGATAAGAAATTCTTATGTGCAAAGCAATAACAGAAAACACTGCGGGTGCATCGTGGACGTGGTGGATGGAAGCGACCGCTGCTCTAGTGACCGTCACCGTGGCAGTTGCTGCCACAGCATTCTGTATACGAGCCATTAAAATCAGACGCGAAAATTTAGATAACCCTGACTTAGTTCCTCGGTCTGATGGTATGTAATTTTGTTCTATTTTAAGATTTTTTATATAAATTATTATAAATTATTATTGTTATAGATGTTATGCATGTTGTTGCTGAATAGTTTTCTGTTAGTTTTGCGCCATACTTCATCCAAGCAACGAAAAAAAATTGCTTACAGTTTGATTTATACTAAATAATTATTACATGAATATAATATGTTTTTTCTTATTATTTTTCTATTTTTTCCATTTTTTAAATAATAAACATTGATGACAATAGTGATAAAACTTGATATGCATCGTTTAAATGATATTATCTCTATGTTTAAAAAATAAACGTCTACAAATGTAAAATTATAAATGTTATATTTACATTATTTTTTCATTTTTATTGATATTAATAATTATAAATTATAAATATATAATAATTATAAAAGTTTACGTTGTTAGTGTGAACTCATCAATTGACACATCAATTGACGAAATTATCTGTAATGATTAAAATGGATTTTGAAAAATAATACTTCTATCTTTTAAAATGAATGTCCATTATCCAAAAATATTAAATTTCTCATGGTAAATTAGGTGCCTTCCATCGGGAGCCAGATTTCGTCCGCGAGGAGCGCCTGGTCGGCACCACCAACATTACGGTTAATCAATTAGCAAGATGTCAGAATGTAAGTATTCGCTGTGTGTTAAATAGAACACATCGTAACGTTGTTTCACGCTATCAAGAAATTAACACCATTATTTGTTCAAAAACATTTTGATTTTAATTATTAATTTAAAATATGTGACAAATTTAACCTAAAGTATAGATTTTGATTTTAAAGATCAAATCAATTGTTTAAACTTAGTCTTATGTTTTAATATCATTTTTCGGTATATACCTTTTTAGTAACGAGGCTTGTACGGCTTCATAGAATACTATGTAAATATGAGCGCAATTAGAAACCAACCTTCTTAAATATTCGAAAAGGTTCATTAGCACATAAACATAAAGTGTATTTCTCAGTCAGAAATGAAATCACGTTAAATTCAGCTATGGGGCGTACATATAACCTGTAACATTTCTTATTTAATTTTAAAAATGTATTACTTTTATTATTATAGAATATATTATGTAAATACTAACTCATTTACAGCAATATACACCAACTCCCGTCCCCTCTTGCCGGGTATTAGTTGGGTGCGGTTCGCGTTCTCCACTTCAAGACACCTGTCCGGCTAGCCAGCACTCCTACTACGTCTAAAAATAATGATTATTATTGTAAAACATTTGACTAAACAGATCTCGCATCGTAATTGATGTCACTGCTATTAGAATAAGATGTTTATACTCATTAAATAATAAATGATGAACTGAAATATCACATTAACAACATAATATGCTTAATCATAGGGAAATACCTGTATTTAAATAACTTATTTCGAATATTCTGTTTTTATCACATTAAGCAACTAGTCATACTAGTCTAAATGTAACCACGAATTTGTTTAGGCATGAATTTAATTTGTTTGTGATATACGTACAGTGTTTTTAGAATGAATATTTAACAACTAGTTAATACACTACAATTATTTTGAATTATATCTAGTATGGGTAAACTCATGCATAGCATATTAGTAGCAGCACACGTATTTTAAGCCAATTAGTTATTATTTACATACTTGTTAATTGACTTATGTATCATTTTCGGTTAAAACTTTATCAGCAGCACAAATGAATTGAACTGACCTCAGCATGAGTATGCTTGCAGTTCCTCTAAAAGATTTACTCCCTAAACCAAAACAAGGAATAATATGGCTGAAACATGACTTTTAGCAAACTCAAGGCCTTATCAAGTAAGAAGTTTGTTCTGTATAAACCTATTACATAAATCAGAAAATTCTTAGGTTATTAATTAAATGTATTTTTAAATTATTCGCAAACTGTAGCTTACTTTATGTACAATTTGTCATTTTAAAATATTTTTAAATATAAGGCTGGCCATATATACATAGATATTTAGATATATAAATTGAATTTACTTGTAAAGAAAACTGATAATATAATATCTAATTTTAAAATTATGTACTAATCTGAAATATATAAGTTATACATAAAATATTTTTTAATCATATGGTACCATTTTGGGTGGTAATATTTTATTGATAACTCTTAGCAGTAATACATTCATAGAGAAATTACTAGTAAAACAGTTTAATCCAAATATTTCTTTTGTCATGGACTTTATAGTTACCGCACGCTAGTGACTTTTGTCACGATTACCAAAAATTATCTTACAATTTGTTACAAAAAGCAGAAACTGCGCTCATTAGGTGATGTGACACGGACGGAACAAAAAGTTCCGCTGGCCCGCAATCAGGTGATAACTTATTGTCTACTTACTAGTACCTTCGTGGCAACCTTTATTAGGTAGAACATGGAGCACTCATCGGTTTCTTTTTATGACTGAACGGCGTCCGTCAGCTGCAAGAAACCGAGGCGGCGAATGCTTCTACAATGACATTTTACGAGAATGATACTGATAATGAAATTTTGATGGAGGAGAAATTCAACAGCTTATTGAAACTCATTATACCCATTCTAAAATATTGAAATATTAAAGCTGTTAGCGATACTGCAGCAGCTCACTAAGCCTAATAGCATAATTTCCATTCTTTTGTTCCATAATTAAATAAGGTTTAAACAAGTACTATGTCCACGAAATTCATCATGAAAATTAAATGACACCTATATTTTAACGGCAGTGACAGAAAATATAATTAGAGTAGCAAGCTGACCTGACAAAAGAGCTTGATTTGCTCTCAAGGTAGAGCACAAAACTTAGAGGATAATTGCTCGCCTAAAAATTACATAGTACCCAAGCAAACTGATTTCGATCCTTCTGGAACGCAATAGCGATTCTAGGCACTGATTTAGCACGTACTCGATGGTGTGTTATCATTCACCGTCAAGCACGTGCTAAATCAGAAATTGCATATTAGAGAAATTATATAAACATTTCGTGGACATGTAAAGTCTGCTAGCAGACATTCACGCATTGGGCGGATTCTTCCTTGGCCTTAATTCCTATTAGAAATGAGGAGAGATCTGTGTACAGCAGTGTAAATTATTAGTAGTGGCTAATTCACTTCAATTATATTCAAATACACATCAAAGCACTTGCGAGTACGATCCAAAGTTTTTTTCCTAACTAAACATGTCTCTTTAAATAAAAAGATTATTAAACTTTGCGGTTAAGCATATATATAGTTTTAAATTTAAGGAAAATTTAGATTACAATATCAAATTCCCGCTCTTTTGAACCAAATTCCCAAACCAATAAAAAATGTAAAGTAAATTTAACGGTGGTAGAGCCACGCAGCAGTTTTTACTGTTGCATGTATGGGCCGGCTCGAGCCGGGTTGGTACCACGACCTCACAGAATACCGGCGTGAAGTAGAAGCTCTGCTTCTGCGTTTTGTCTGGTGAGTGCAGGTGGCCGGAGGCCCAATACCCCCCCCCCCCCATCAACATGGTAGCGGAATTACACGATGAACTACCCCAGGAGGGTACCAGTACCCCTGGAGAATCCCTCGCTGAGCATCCACGACCACGTTATTCCGATCCTGAGCGTAGGTGCTCAGGCTTCCCCACGTATTCTGGGGGGGGGGGGGGGGGGGCAAAATTCCGCTCAAAAGCATAACTGCTAGGGGCAAACTGAGCAAGAACACCAAGGCGACCCCTGCCACGCTATCCGTGAATTTCTGCAACATCAGGGGACTTCACTCTAACCTAAACGCCGTCCACTACCATCTCGAGACGGCGAAGCCGGCCTTGCTCTTTCTGACCGAGACGCAGGTTTCCTCTCCGGCTGATATTTCGTATCTCTCCTACCCGGGGTACAAATTGGAGCATTCCTTTGTGCCTCGTGCTGGAGTTTGCGTGTATGTCAGAGAGGACATCTGTTCTCGACGCCTCGGCAGTCTTGAAGGTTCGGACCTGTCCATCCTTTGGCTACGCGTAGACAGCGACGACCATCCGCGCGTCTACGGGTGCCTCTATAGGTCCCATAGCGGTAATGCCGAAACAGACCGACTGATCGACCACGTCCAAATGGCTACAGATTCATTGCTACAACAGGTCCCATCCGCAGAGATCGTGATCCTTGGCGATTTTAACGCCCACCATGCCGAATGGCTCGGTTCACGTCTAACCGATCATGAGGGGAGATCTGTTTATGACTTTACCTTGGCATATGGTCTGACACAACTGGTTACTTCGCCTACGCGGATTCCAGATGTGGAGGATCATACACCTTCCCTGTTGGACCTTCTGCTGACCTCTCATCCGGACGGATATCAGGTTTCCGTCGATGCCCTCTCGGCTCTTCGGACCATTGTCTGATCCGGAGTGTGGTGCCACTCACGCTCCCTTCGCGGTTGCGTTCTGCAGGTTGCCGCCGTGTTTGGCATTACAGGTCGGCGGATTGGGACGGAATGCGGTCTTTCTTTGCATCCTGCCCATGAGGGCGGGTTTGCTTCTCGCCGGACGATCCCAGCGCTGTTGCTGACTCTGTCACTGATGTGGTGCTACAGGGAATGGAACTATTTATTCCATCATCTGTGATACCCATCGGAGGCAGATCTCAGCCTTGGTTTGGTCGCTCCTGTAAGACTGCATTACGCAGTAAGCAGGAGTGTTATCAAGCCTGGGCTGCTGCTTCGGCGACTCGGAATGTAAACACCAGCACACTTAAAAAGAAGTATAACTTCGCCTCCAGGTCCTTCAAAAGAGTTATTGCCAAGGCAAAGTCAGAGCACATGGGCAGAATTGGCGAGAAACTAGTTCGCCTTCCTTCGGGAACCCGTGCATTCTGGTCTCTCGCCAAGGCTGTCCAAGGGAATTTCTGTAAGCCATCATTACCATCTCTGCACAGGGAGGATGACTCACTGGCCCAAGACGCAAAAGACAAAGCCGACCTTTTAGGCTCCCTTTTTGCGTCCAACTCGACTCTTGATGACTGGGGGAAAACACCGCCGACCATCCCGCGGAGTGAGTGCTCCATGCCGGATGTGCTGTTCTCACAGCGCTCGGTTCGCAAAGCACTGCTCTCCCTGGACATCCAGAAGTCGAGTGGGCCTGACGGAATCCCCCCAATTGTGCTGAGGACGTGTGCTCCGGAGTTGGCACCGGTCCTTACGCGTCTTTTCCGGTACTCCCACTCCCAAGGCGTAGTCCCGAATTCATGGAAGACAGCTTTTGTCCACCCGATCCCTAAAAAAGGCGACCGCTCAGACCCATCCAACTATAGGCCTATCGCGATCACCTCCTTGTTCTCCAAAATAATGGAATTCATTATTAACTGCCAGCTCATCCGGTACCTTGAGGATCACCAACTGATTAGTGACCGCCAATACGGTTTTCGTCGGGGTCGATCAGCTGGTGATCTTCTGGTCTACCTGACCCATAGATGGGCGGAGGCAGTAGAGTCCAAGGGGGAGGCGTTGGCCGTTAGTCAGGACATTGCGAAGGCCTTCGATCGGGTTTGGCACAAAGCGCTCCTTTCGAAGCTCCCTTCCTATGGGCTTCCCGAGAAATTGTGCAATTGGATCACCAGCTTCCTTGCAGATCGGAGCATCAAGGTCGTTGTAGACGGTGCATGCTCTGACTACAAGCCTATTAACGCTGGTGTTCCACAAGGCTGTGTGCTATCATCAACGCTGTTTCTTCTGCATATCAATGATATGTTGCTAACTGGTAACATTCATTGCTATGCGGATGACAGCACTGGTGATGCTCTATACACCGGCCGTGCCAATATTTCTCGGGAAAACGTCGCTGAGTACCGGAACAAACTTGTGTCTGAAGTCGAGTCTTTGCTGAACAAAGTCTCGGATTGGGGGCGACTAAATCTAGTCCAGTTTAATCCTCAGAAGACATAAGTTTGCGCGTTTACCGCTAAAAAGAACCCCTTTGTCGTATCTCCTCAGTTTCAAGGCACTCCCCTTGTTGCCTCAGCCAATATCGGTATCCTCGGAGTCGATATATCGAGTGACGTACAGTTTCGTGCTCACTTGGAAGGGAAGGCCAAATTGGCCTCTAAAAAGCTTGGCGTGCTCAGCAGAGCGGGTCAGTATTTCATGCCGGCACACCGCCTGCAACTTTACAAGGCGCAAGTTTGGCCTCACATGGAATACTGTTCCCATCTCTGGGCAGGGGCTCCCCAGCGCCAGCTCCTTCCACTTGACTGCATCCAACGCAGAG